AACTCTGCTTGTTGAGAACATTGTTGGTGAAGCAAGGCTACTTTCTCGCGTTCTGCGTCAAGTTCATTTTGAATGAACTTGGCGATAGTAGCATGTTGGGCATCTCTATTGAGAGCCTCTAGCATGACGCTAACAGCATGGATGCCCATGGTCGAACCCATTCGTTCAACCGCATCCCATTCGACATCGCTCAAATGGGAGTAGCCGTCACGCGTAGCGTGAAAGCTTTGGTCATCTTCATCATCCAACATATTCATGTTGGATGTGAACGCGGTCCTTGGACGGACTACGAAGTGCTACCAGGTGTAACGGGGCACCCTGAAGCTTGTACTGATGACAGTACAAGCTACTTATTCTGATAACAGAATAAGGCGGTGCCTCGTAACTTCACGTACACTCGTACGTGCAGAGGAAGACGGTAAGAAGAAGCGAGTACTTGGTTAGAGTAAAAAGTAGAACTGTATTTATAATAGTTAATGTCTGCAATAAATCACTATTTATCTTCATCTAACTATGTCTAAATACAAATGTGTAAATCAGTTATCTGCTCACCACTCATTGCGTGCGTCTGTCGTGGCGCGTCTTCGTTGGTTGATATAATGGCCTATATCAACCAATTAGGAACTACTTGGAAGTGCTACAGAATATTGTCCTTATGACAATATTCTGAGAATATAACTCTTATAGTTATATTCTATTAACAAATTCTTATAAATTGTTATGTAACGATTCACCCCGTTACACGTCGCATCGACGACGGGGATATGCAAGTTGCATTTGCCCAGTCAAATATGGCAGGACGTGCCAAGACTTGGGCACTGGGGCTCAAGCTGCACGACCCTATGCGTTTGGGTCGTTGGAAGTCTTCAAGTCGCGGCTCAGACAAACGTTTGAACCGCCTAGAGCTGAGTTCAGAGCTCGAACCGAACTTTTGAAGCTCAAGCAGGGTAAGCGTGATGTGCACGCTTACGCGCAACATATACGACATCTTACGAGTTGTATAAGTTCCAATCCGGCGGATGAACACACGTTGGTTTCGGTGTTCATGCAGGGTCTTGCGGATGGTCCCGTCAAGACTCACCTGTTCCGGCTTGAACTAGATTCACTAGAACAAGCCATTTCAATTGCGGAGCAGGAAGACTTCAGTCTGAGACAGGCTCGCGCCAGCTCGACATCATATCGTCAACCGAGACGATATGACAACGGAGGTCCAGAGCCGATGGAACTCTGTTATGTAGAGAGCGAGAAGGCTCGCTCTACAGGCTACAAGAAGTTGCAGAGATGCAACAGATGTCAAAAGACAGGACACTACGCTTACGAGTGTAGTGCCCCTCGTCCAGTGTCTCGCAACACTGGGCGTAGTGACCGTCCACCCATGAGAAAGGGGCAGGGACGCGGGTCCGCTGTTGGTGCAAAGACGCAACAACGGGATGGACCGTCAAAAAACGGACAGGATCAGTAGGTGCGGAGCACCCTACTGATCCAGCAACGTCAAGAGAATTTGCAAGCCTCTTGACGAAGTTTGCTCCCAACATACAGACATTGTGCGATGCTGCTCTAGGTAGTGAGGTCTCACTCATTACCTTGAAACTCGAAGTGACAAATAAGTTGTCCCTTCGAGCTCTAGTCGATTGTGGGGCGTCCAACAATTTTGTGCGACGCCAATCGCTAGAAGATGGTCACTTTAAGTTCAGTGAATGTGACACACCTCCTACGAGGATGACGGTACGTCTTGCGACAGGCGCATCCGTAACCGTCATGAAGCGCATAGTGAAGATCCACTATACGCTAGAAGATACCCAATATGACGATGACTTTATCGTATTGGATTTGGATGACAAATTTGATGTCATCCTTGGAATACCGTGGCTCAGAAGGTACGAACCACGGGTAAACTGGCAACATCGGACAGTAACGATGCCTGCCGCTTGTTCATCAGATGACCATTTGATGAACGTTTTGGAGCGTCTTTGTTTGGATGTACTACGAGTGAGTGCGATGGCCTCACTTGTGGTACGGTCGTTAGTACGACTGCACAAAACCTTAGTGTACCAAACGGTTACACTTCGGAGCAAAGTTCCGGCGACTGTGAGGAAACACAGGCTGCGCCGAAGGTCCACCACTCGAATAAGTCGGGTGGACTGGGACAAAGATGTATCCCTAGAGGGGAACATCTAGAAGAGAAACAATCGATCGCTCAGGTTAAGCGAAACGATAATCCTAGATAGACTGGAGAGTCTTTCGTAGAGGATCTCGCTGTGGTTGCGCAACCCCAGCTAGAGGAAGTAAAGGGAATAAGTCCCAAGATTACAAATACGGCGGAAATAAGTTCCCCGAAACCCGCGGGAATAAGTCCTTCGAAGCCTGAGGGAATAAGTCCCCAGGAAATGACAGAGACATTAAATGTCCTATCCAACGACGGATCAAGTGTAGGCGCTTATACACTTGATCTGATTGCGCCTCCGAAGTTAACTTCGGAGATCACTCAGTTGCCAACGCTCGAACATAAAAGGTTCTTGCGTGATCTGCGTAGTGGCAAAGTCAAGCAGATCTGCGTACTCATCGCTGACGACGAGTGTGTAACCGACATAAGGTCAGCAACAGTGTTTACTGAGAACGAGAGAGTTCTCAGTAGTTCATCTATGGACGAGAGTGTCCTAGATGAAAAGACACGAATTGAGCGATATGACTCCCAATCGTGGGAATCGCTCAAGAAAAATCCTCTCTATGAAGATTTGGTTGAATTCAAGGATGTATTCCCTGAAACTGTTCCGTGCGAATTACCGAAGGATAAAGGTATTCGACACGAGGTCGAGCTTAAACCAGGCTCGAAGTACTGTGTCATGAAGCAGTGGCCACTGCCTCATGAACAAGTACTTGCGATCGACAAGTTCTTTGCCGATCGTTTAGCTGCGGGCCATGTGAGGGAATCAACTTCCCCACATAGCTCTCCGACATTCTGTGTGCGAAAAGCAACAGGAGGGTGGCGGATAGTGCATGCATTTAACAAGTTGAATGCTGCAACGGTACCGGCTCAAACGCCGATACCGAGGAAGGGCGTAATCATTGCTGGTATGTCAAAGAGTACCATCTTTTCGTCCATGGATTTGATGGATGGCTTCTATCAAATCCTTATGCGGGAACGGGATATACCCTATACCGCAGTTAGCACGCCTAGCGGCATGCTCTGGGAATGGCTAGTAATGCCACAAGGGCTTAGTAATGCCCCTGCCACGTTCAACAGGTGTGTATCACATCTGTTGAGGCCAGTACGAGAATTCGCGCCGAGTTATTTCGATGACGTATTCATCCATAGTCGAGCTATGGATGGAAAGTCGGACGTTGAGGTTCACGGGTACCACGTCCGACAGGTTCTTACAATCATGCGAAAGCATCAATTGTATGCAAACCTCAAGAAGTGTATATTTGCAGCAAGCGAAATACCACTTCTTCGGTGCATCGTTGGTAAGAACGGTGTACGTCCTGATCCCGAAAAGATCAAGGCGATCACCGACTGGCCTGTGCCGGTTGATGTCAAAGGTCTTCGAAAAATCCTTGGGCTAGCGGCGTATTTGCATAAGTATTCACGCAATTACGCCGAGATGACTGTGCACCTCTCTCGTTTGTTGAAAAAGAACGAGAGGTGGTTATGGAACGCTGAATGTCAGCGCTCCTTTGAGGGTATCAAGCAGAGCTTGATACAATCCCCAGTCCTAGCAATAGCCGAACAGGACAGGCCATTTCATGTGGTCTGTGATGCCAGCGATTTCGCAATCGGCTGTGTATTAATGCAGTACGACCTCGAAGGCGTTGAACGCGTCGTCTGCTATCAGTCGCGTCAGCTGCAACCAGCTGAGCGGAACTATCCAGTGCATGACAAGGAACTCCTTTCCATGAAGTATGCACTCGCGAAGTTCAGAGTCTATCTATTAGGAGATAGACCCTTCATTGTTTACACTGACCATGCGTCATTACGCACGGCAGTGAACAGCCCGCACCTTTCACAACGAATGGCGCGGTGGTTGTCATTCTTTGCAGAATACAACTTTACGGTCGAGTACAAACCAGGACGACTTAATTTCGTCGCTGATGCACTCTCACGTCGTCCCGACTTTGAACCAGTCGCGAAACCCAACAGTGAGATAGTCACTGTTGCGGTTATGACGTCCTCAGTCCCATCTACAACGTTGTATGATGATGTGAGGCGGCCATACGCCCAAGATGGTGAGATAGTGAAGTTGTTGACACATCTCTCACAGCCATCTCGAGAATCGTTGAAACGATTGTCGCCTGCGTATCGATCTACATCAGATCGATACACTACTCGTAACGGTTTACTGTGTTATACAGCCGTTTCTGGTGACACACCACGTGTTGTCATTCCAGATGATACTGATCTGCGTTTGCGGATCATGTTCGAGTATCACGATGCTCCTATAGGAGGACATCGTGGCCGGGAGAAAACATATCTCACGGTAAGTCGAGACTTTTACTGGCCCCGCCAGTATCAGTTTGTGCGAAAGTATGTTCGCGCATGCGAAGTCTGCCAACGAGTGAAGTCAAGTCCTTCACTGCGTGCACCCTTACAGCCTCTACCGGTTCCGGCTGAGTGCTGGGAATCCATCTCAATGGATTTTGTCTTCGGGTTACCCAAAGACGCACGCGGGAATACGGGTATTCTCGTATTTGTTGACAGATTCAGCAAAATGGTACACCTTGTGGCTGTACCAGAGACAATCACGGCAAGTGGCTGTGCTTGTGTCTTTATTGACACCATCTTCCGACTTTATGGGTTGCCCCGTGAACTCGTATCAGACAGAGATCCACGATTCACTGCTGATTTCTGGCGTTCCGTGTTCAAATCACTCGGAACGCGCTTGAAGATGTCAACATCTGATCATCCAGAGTCAGATGGTCAGACGGAACGTGCCAATCGTGTCCTTGAAGAGATAATTCGAGGATACGTACACTCCTTTAAGAGTTGGAGTGAGTTTTTGCCAATGGTAGAGTTTGCCATCAACAACTCGGTGCATGCGTCCACGACACATACACCGTTTTACGTGAATGGCTTGCGCCATCCGCGTGTACCCACCTTACTAGAGTGTAACTCTGGTTTAAGGGGGGGAGGGACTCGCGCGAGCAAAAACCGATTTGGTTCACGCTCTGACGAAGAGGCCATTGCGTTTGATGCCGATATCGATAACATCGATATCGAAGAAGATGATGCCAGTGAGAGTGCGGAAGCCCTCACTGAAGACAATGATCCCAGTGAGAGTGCGGAAGCCCTCACTGAAGAAAAGGTTGATGTCGCTGCAGTGCGCTCACAGCACACTGAAGCTAACGAGTCATCAGATGAGTTCATACTGGCTCGTGAAACGGTAGTCCGTTTTGTGCAAGACTCCATCGCCGAAGCGGTGGATAAGCAAAAGCAAAACGCTGACAAGAATGGAAGGGCAAACACTCTTTATTTAATAAAGGTGACTTAGTCCTACTGTCTACGGTTAATCTACCAAAACATGTAGTGACTAACTTGGGTAGCAGTAAACTACTACCCAAGTACATTGGCCCATTTCGTGTATTGCACCGCCTAGGCAATGCATACACGATCGAGTTACCACGTAAGATGCGAACGCATCCCACGTTTTACGTTGGTCGGCTTAAGCCGTACCATCAGTACGCTGCTTCTTCCGATGAAGAACGCCCTTGCGCTCAAGCATCTCGCAGAGAGCCTTGTGCTCCCGATGGTGGGCATCAACAAGGGTCTGAAGAGCAGTTATCTCAGCCCGAGACCGATCAACAATCCCACGAGCTACCCTTAGCTCGTCACGAAGAGATGTCAGAGATCTCTCGTTCTCAAGCTGAGCAAAGGCAAACTCAGCTCGATGCTTCAAGGCAGTGTCCGCCATTTGGAGACGCCTATTCCGCTCATGCTCGAGATCGTCGCGTAACCCTTGCGTTACGCGATCAAAGAAGCTCTCGGGAACACACCGATCCACATGATCGTGTGGAGAGCGTCTTTCCTCCTCCTCCACCTCCATTAGAGGACTCTCGCGGTGGCCACCGCTATCTAGTCGAGCAGCTGTTGAACCACCGCGACGTGAACGGACGTCGGACAAGTTATCTCGTCCGGTGGCGCGGCTATCCCCCGTCCTGGGATTCTTGGGAGCCCCGCTCCCAACTGATGATCGATGTACTGGGTCTGGTTGAGCAGTACGATGCGGCACATCCTGTGCCGCAGAAGGACCGCCGGAGAAAGTCTTCCCGGCACGGTCGTAAAGGGATTTCAGGCTGTCAATCCCTTCGTACATCTCAGTAGAGATACGTACGCGCCACCACGGGCTGGTAAGGAGGTAAGCCTCCTTAGGTGCTCGTGCGGAGTTGTTCACACAACATGGGCACGAGTCTCCCCAAGCGAGGCAGGGTAATCCTTTCTCCCTTGACAGACGATGCAGCTTGTAGCGTGCACCTGTCGGGGTTCGCTTTTCAAACTTATCACGAGCTTTAATAAGTTTGTCGTTCCAAGCGTCACGACCTACATCCTCAAGGTTATGGATGTAAGCGTTCCACGCTTGAAGCAGTGAGGGACCATCACGCTTGTGATTCCCACTGTACCCTCGATGTCTAAAGAAAGCATCGATGAAGAATTCATTCTCAGCGCGATAGTTTTTCGCGCTGGGGTCAAGGTGATGGATCCTTGACGAATCGAACAACCGTGTTCGATAACGGTCACTCGTCGTCGCCGACAAGTGATCCATGACAGATTTTGGAGGCATCCATGCCTTCTTCTCGGGAGCGAGACGCAAGACATTGCGGTCCCGCTCTTCCTGCGATGTGCCGACAGAAGGACTGGCACCTCGTTGCGAAGTGGTGTCCATAGGAGAACCGACACCACTGTTAGCGCCCGAGTCTCGCGACCTCGAGCGCCTTCGCTTCGTCGATGGTTCATCTGATGAATCAGATGAACCAAAGATGCTGCGACGCAAAGCATCGTCCATGCCACGTTTGGCAGGCGGCTTAGATTCAATCGCCGTCGATACGGATCCGTCTTCCGTATCAGGAGAGTACGAGACACCGAGCTCGTACTCTGTGAAGACATGAGTGTCTTCATGACCAGCGCCTGCATCACCAAGTGACACAGGCTGGGTCGCTTCAGCAACCGATGAGACATCAGTTGCTGTGATTTCTGCTTCGGCGTCCGCACAGAGACGTGCGGACGCGCTCTCGGCGGCCTTGCTCGCGCATCGCATGGGCTTGTTAACCATGCGATGAAATGTTGGGAAGTGGACTCGGACCAACAAGTGCAAACCCTGTCCCAAATGATTTGGGACGAGTATCCATTTAGTCAATCAGTCACTAAAGTGACTGATGGTTAAGGGGGGGGGGTGATGTAACGGGTGAATCGTTGCATAACAATTTATAAGAAATTGTTAATAGAATATAATTATAAGAGTTATATTCTCAGAATATTGTCGTAAGGACAAATATTCTGTAGCACTTACGAGTAGTTCCTAATTGGTTGATATAGGCCATTATATCAACCAACGAAGACGCGCCACGACAGACGCACGCAATGAGTGGTGAGCAGATAATTGATTTACACATTTGTATTTAGACATAGTTAGATGAAGATAAATAGTGATTTATTGCAGACATTAACTATGCTAATACAGTTCTACTTTTTACTTTAACCAAGTACTCGCTTCTTCTTACCGTCTTCCTCTGCACGTACGAGTGTACGTGAAGTTCCGAGGCACGCCTTATTCTGTCATCAGAATAAGTAGCTTGTACTGTCACCAGTACAAGCTTCAGGGTGCCCCGTTACAGGTTCTGTCAACGCCATGTACTCGGCTTCCGTAGACGATAGAGCCACTGTAACCTGCTTCTTGCTTCTCCAGCTAATACACCCATTGTTCATCAGGAACGCGTATCCACTTGTGCTTCGTCGAGTTCTCACATCACCAGCCCAGTCTGCATCTGAGTAGCCTTGAAGCTAGTCATTGCTTGTGGCTTGAAATTCAATCCCATGGGTTTTTGTGCCTCGGACGTACCTGAACACGCGCTTGAGTGCTTGCCAATGTGTCGGACAAGAGTCCGCTGCAAACTGGCTGAGCACTCCCACTGTAGCTGCGAGATCCGGGCGAGTCCCTACCATGAGGTACATCAGGCATCCAACAGGATTGCGATATGAAACATTTGCCATCGTGTCTTCGTGCTTGCATCCTCCTTCGCACATGGACCTTGTTAGCTTTAGCCCGGGTTCTTGTGGAGTCTTAACTGGATTGCTATGTTCCATGCCATATTTCTCGAGGATTTCCATCGCGAATTTGAACTGACGAATCGAGATTGTGCCGACCGTGAAATCTTGATCAACTTCCATACCGAGAAAATACTTGAGGTTTCCCAGATCCGTCATGTCAAAACGATCACCCAGCGACTCCTTTGTTGACTTCTGCAGCTCGTCGTTGTTGCTCGCGAAGCCAAATCGTCGACGTATAGTGCCACGGAAATCATGTCTTGATCGGCTCGCTTGACATAGATGCAGTGATCCGTTCCACAAATTTTAAAATACAGTTCCAGCATAAACTTGTTGATGGTTTGGTTCCACATCCGTGGTGACTGCTTTAGACCGTACAGGGAGCGCTTGAGCTGAAAAACAAAGTCCGGGTGATCTCCATCGACGTGACCGTCTGGCTGCACCATGTAAATGTCTTCGTCCAGGAGTCCATTGAGAAACGCCGTCTTGACATCCATTTGGTGTACCGACAAGCTAAACTTGGCTGCCAGGCTGAACAAAATCCTGATTGACGTGAACTTGGCCACGGGCGCAAAGATCTCGTCGTAGTCAATACCACGCTTCTGAAAAAAACCTTTGGCCACCAAGCGCGCTTTGAATCGCTCGACTTCCCCAGCCTGATTCTCCTTGACTCGAAAGACCCATCGATTACCGATTGCTTTACGGCCTTTTGGTAGTGGTACGAGGTCCCAGGTCTTGGTTTTGCGAAGAGATTCCATTTCTGAGTCGCACGCTTCTTTCCACTTGACTGCGTCACTGGATTCCATCGCCGATTTAAACGTCGTTGGCAATTCTCCCACTGAATCCATGACGTAAGCAGCTTCAAAGTCATGACGTTCTTGAGCCACCGCAGATGTCTCGACCAAACCTTGATCCCGACTTAGTCGTTTTGACCTTGGAATATCGACCGCTTCTTCCAGTGATCGTGTGCGTTGATGTCGCTTGCTGCCAGTCCCGCACGTTTTTTTCTTCTTCTTTGTTGGAACACGATGAGTCCTTATCCGTTGAAACTTCTACATCTTCTATAACTACTTCGGCTTGAACGTAGTCGCGTCTTCCACTTTCGAAGACGTCTTCCATAAACTGTGCGTCGCGGCTGACCAGCACACGACCACTCTTGATCCCTTCGAATTGATATGCTTTCTCGTGATCTGCATATCCCATGAACCGACAGTGTATTGATCGAGCGTCGAGCTTGGACCGTTTTTCCTTTAAAACACGCACATACGCATGACACCCGAACACCTATAAACTCGCAAGCTAAGGTTTCTTTCCGGTACAAGCTTGATGTGGTGACTTGTCATGACGTGTAGCACGGATTGGGCAGCGATTGAGCAAGAAGTTGGCAGTCATGACTGCCTTTCCCCAATACGATTTCGCTAGCCCAGCATGTTCCATCATGCAGCGGGCGCTTTCTACCAATGTCCGATTCATCCTTTCGGCAACACCGTTCAGTTGAGGAGTGTACGGCGGCGTAAATTTCTGAGCTTGGGCATCGCACCGGAGGTGTATTCGCCACCATTGTCACAACGAAGAAGCTTCACGCGCTTGCCAGTCTGGGTTTCAGCCCACCAGTTTGTAATAAAATAATTTTTTGACTTTTTTAAGTCAAAAAATTATTTTATTACAAACTAGTTATATTTATCATTATTCCTTATTAATGCTAATTAGTTTAATTTTTTTTTAATAAATATTATTTTTTTTCTATTGCGACGACTTCTGCAAATTTGGTCGCCACTTCAGACTTGTTCTTGAGTAGAAATACCATACAGTGGTGTGAGTGTTCGTCGATAAATGTAACAAAATAACGTTTGCCACTTAGGTACAGGTTTGCATGGGTCCACACACATCACTGTGAATGACCTCCAGCAACGCCTTTGCTTTTTCAGGAGACTTCGACATATAGCTCACTCGTGTTTGCTTGCCGAGTGCGCACCCGCTGCAAGTCTCCCATTTGTTCACCAAGGCCAAGTCAATGCCGGCTCCATGACCTTTCTTGACGATGGCGTCAAGTCCTCCGTGGCCGATGTGACCAAGCCGAAGATGCCAGAGATGCGACCCGGTACCCCTTTTACAATCATTCAAACTTGACACGTTTGCCTCGCTAGACGCTTCTGGCGTCATGCAGAGTTTGAAAAGCACTTTGCCTTCGCGAGCACCGAGATTCCACTTGACACCTTTTGTCTCCGCGAAGCATCCGTTGGTTTCGAAGGTGACTGGCCCGACGTCCTTAAAAAATCTACCCACGGAGAACAGATTACGCGATAACATCGGGATATGCCACACGTCCGCGAGCACAACTTTCTTGGTACCGCGTGGCGTCAACATTGACATCATGATGTCGCCTTTTCCGATCGCTTGAAAGACACCATCGTCTGCCAAGTGCACATCGACCGGATTGAAGACCTTGTAGTTCTTCATGAACTTCTTGGAGCTCGTCATGTGCTGCGTCGCACCCGAGTCGACCAGCCACACGTTACTCTACTTGGCGACTTCACCACCAACCGAAAACAGATAGTCGCCAAGATCATCATCTTGCGCCACTTTCGCACGCTGTAAACGATATCGTTCCGCGTCTTCTTGGATCCGCGAGGGGAACTCCGCAATCCAATGTCCTTGTTTCCCACACTTGTGGCACGCACCAGTCTTCTTACCGGTCGTCCGTTTCGCTTGTTGTCTCTTGACATGAACGCTTGAGCTTGCCCATGCACGGATCCATCGACTCCGCCACCTTGCGCCTTGCGCTTCAGGTCTTCATGCATCAGCCGAGAAGTCACTAAATCCCATGTCAGCGAGTCGGATCTTGACTCCAGCGCATTTATCAGGAATTGATAGGACTCGCTGAGACTGGCCAAAAGAGTGATGACCAAGTCGTCTTCACTGACCAGAGCACCAACCGCGTCGAGCTGCTCCGCCAGGGTCTTTAGCTTGTTGATGTACTCTAGCACGTCATCACCTTCTCCCATCATTGTCGTGAAGAAACGGCGACGAAGAAAGAGCTTATTAGCCAAGCTCTTCTTCTCGTAGTGTCCCTCCAGACGCGACCATGCATCATACGCATTCTCCGCCGAGCGCACCAGTGGCAACTGCGAGTCCTCCATTGCAAGGCAGATGATCGCCAGTGCCTTACGCGACTTCCGCTTGAACGGTGCTTGGTCCAATGTCGACACGCAGTGCTCAAGATTTACCTTCCCACTCACGATATCCCACAGGTCTAGCTCCTCCAGCACCAGCTGCATCTTGAACTTCCACGTATGGAAGTTTGTTCCGGCGAACTTGTTGATGCGGGCGGAGGTGTTCGGCATGGCATCCATGGAGAAAGCGTGGTCGAGGTATTGGGCAGAGTCTGCAGGGCTTGGGCTCATAACCTAAAGTAGTTGATCAAAGCTGGTTAAATGCAAAGTGAATATATTTAGGTCCTTAGTTCACAAACTCTGTTGCTACTCTAATCCTACTTGATTCTTCGACTATACGTTCCTAATCGCTATATAGCGCATTACTAATCGTCTAGTCGCACATCAGTAATCGCCACATCGCACATTACTAATCGTCTAGTCGCGCATTAGTAATTATCACATCGCGCATTACTAACTGTCTAGTCGTACGTTTCTAATTCTGGTCATGCGTTTCTAAACACCCAAACGTACCGAAAGTGGGGGACGTCACTGTCTGGCAGGACAGTGCTGGTGAACCCCAAACACTAGATCCCGAAGGCTTAACTTTTTTGTTTGCACGCCCCAACGGTATCGAACCAGTGCATTTGGGATAATACTGCCATACCAAACCGGCTGAGCTATAGAACACTTTTCTGAAACGTCACGCCGAGGCATATCCTTGACAACAAATGTTACCAGAATGCGCACAGCTCAAACGCTACCAGCCTTCGCCCACGTAAAAGCGATGGATATTGAGATCTATAATATCCTACGTTCGACCTTGCGAGAACCTAATTCTACTGGTAACCTGCTGGCACGACGACAAAGAATCCACTTTTACTCAGCGTTCACCCCGATACAATCGACCCAATTGTGAATTTGTGACCGCGCTTTGGTGGTAGCAGTATTTTGTTGTAAGCATGAGTATATTCTTGTATGAACGCTCCTCAATTTTAGCATCGGATGCGCACGAACAATGCAATGAATAAAATTATTACTTACCGCCGTGCCTTAGCTTTAGCTCAAAGGGCCGGCGAAGACACGGCGGTATATGACAAATATACGGAACCAACCATAACGAATTTTTTGCAAATTTGTTGATACTAATTATAAATGGTGACCAGTCAAGCTGATTTTTGCAAACACTGCTCTTTTCACTCCTCAGCGTTTACGATTATCATAGATCATGTGTGCTGCGTCGAGCGGATACGCCTAACCACAAAGTTTTGACTAAATCAGTCAAATGTCATAATTTGATTTAAAAATGCTGGCTTATTTTTGTTCTCAATCTTTGATTACATTTTTTCTGAAAAGCTATCAGAGATCAAATTAGTTATTATTATGGAAGTGAAAATAATATAATTAATTTTGAAAGACATGATTAAAACACCGTTTGAATAATGAATTATTTATGATCAAGCGCTTCGGCTGGAGTAAATCCTAAACCCAGCACTCATCCGAGTCTAACGTGCTACTTGTCAGATGTTGGTTTTGCTGCGTGCCATGGCCATAAAGCAATTGGAATACAAGCACTTTACGAAGAAGCTATACAAAGATTGCATTTCGTTGTGCGTCCACACTCGTCTCTGAACGCCTCTTTTTTTACAAATTGGTTATCCACGACGAACGCCTTTGCTGCTTCTCCATTAGTCAGAGGAGATACTTGAAGTACTGGAAGCTTGCTAGGAGTAATCACGTTCAATATGCGTTTACATGCAATGGGCGTGCTTCTCTTATTCTTGGCCGGGGCATTAGAGACACGTCGAGAACATTGGTTCACAGCTTCACGACCTGCTACTCCACGACCGACAAAAGGAAGGATAGTGTGCTTGCCTTGCACTGCCATCTTTTAAGTACAGCTCGGGCCACTTGGCAATGCGCAGCGAATTAAATCGACTTTCATGTCGTCTCGCTTTACTTTGCTGGCAGCGAAGCGTCGTAACCAATTGCTGTTCGTGTTGTTCCACATGCAGCAGGAATATTGATGCCGACCATTTACACGATGAAAAATGAAAGTAGATTCAGCTTATCAGTGCATATTGACAGGCACGACTGACTAGCCTCCTCACTCCATGTCCTTATTCGAAATCTCTACAATATTCGACTCTTCACCGATGGTGATCTGGAAACGTTACGCATGGCATCTCTCACCTAGCACAAGACGGTAAAGCACCCATTTTGGATTGATCGTGTGGAGCATTAACGCAGCACAATTTTTCACAAGACATGAGCAGCGGACCAGAACAGAATTGGTGATAAGGTAAGCGCGATTCGGCAGTATGGCAGGCAGCGCAATGGAGTGATTTTGACTGACTATTCAGGAGACAAACTATCGTTTGCGTCACATTGGTACTGGAAGAATTGCATCGCGCACGAGCTAGAACATATTGACGCTCATGGCACATATTTGAGACATAATTAATCTATCAAAACAAGGTAAAGCTCATTATTTTTCGAATTCTGTTATAATTCCAGTTTCTCGGTGTATTCATCCTGTAGCGAAATAGCTCTCGAACAACGTCTCGATTTGATTCTCAAACTTATCGTAAAACACCGTGAGCGGCTCGATGTTGAGGGCTAAATTTTTCGACTTGTTTAATATTCAAAGGCATCTGTCCTACAACTAACTCAAGTAAAAACTTAAAAGTACTTGATCGTGCATTTTTTTTTGTCAAACAAAAACTAAAAATTCAATGGAACCTTTGATCCACCATCATAACCGTTGTTTTTTTATTTCTTTTAAACGACTCCTCTGTTTTATGGTTGTTGAATAGTCGCGTCTAAATCTGAACCTAATTGAGCAAAAGCTTCAAGAACATGCATACGTTCTTGTTGTTAAAAACTGATTTAAATGATTTAAAATCATTTTTATTCTCCAATAAATCAATACAAAATACATGTCTACCAATAATTTTTTTTACTTTTTCATTTTTCGTATAGGCAATTTTCTAAGCTGAATTCTCAAAATTTCTGATTTTTTTAAAACAATGAATTTGTTGTTGAGCGATAGTCATTCGTGCTCGCGGCTTGTGAACTTAGGTCATCGGCATCATACCTTCGCATGTGCTCGGTAGATCTGATTATTGTACATTGGCTCAAAGCAGGTGGTAACGGATCCCACAGTTTACTCAAATGGAACGGCTGGCCGGCATTTAGCCTGACGTTCGTCCGGGTCAATAACAATAATGGACACGAGTGTATGCTGATGCACGAAACTGAGATCGCACTGCGCTGGGATGTGCTACCATGAGGGCGACCGACAAAGTACACGTTCAATTTTATGACAGGGTCGAAGCGGTCGCTAGTGTCGCTGCGCGGGCCTCACGCCAAAGCCTGGATTCGCATCCGGATAATGAATCAACTGATGACGGTGTAGCGCTCCAGTATGCAGAGAGCCCGTGTGCTTTTTTGTGCGAGTGGGGCTTTCGACCGGAGAGCGGAATTGCGATGAGCGCTTAGCATCTTGTTACTTGTCGGGTCGTCGAGTCACCACAACTGTCACAATTGCTTTACCTGTGCACATCTGGTTTGCCAAACAATACCGGTGTCAATCCGCTCGTCGAGATATCGGCGGCCGACCGTACATGTTCCACACATACTATTGAACGGGTCCCGACCACATCCTCAATACTTGAAATGAAGACAACCCTTGGTTGCATTAACCTCGCCTTCCTCTCCGTACGATATCCTGTTTCGTGTTCAAATTCGAGTAGTTGACTACTTGGTCGTCTCGTGTACCAAAGCCGGATTGAAGTCATCGCCAAGGCTTGTTCTCTTTCCCATCATTCATCTTACAGCATCTACGACGTCCTCGACAGCATCCGATAGGCTGACCAGCTCCCATCGAATCGAATCAGACAGACTCTATTTACCTGTAGCACTCAGGCGCCATGTGCCAAGTTAAAGTACCCTTACACGCCCACACTTTATGCAAGTCGTCGTCGGCTATCGCGAAAGAAGGAGCGACATCAACCAGCATGGGTGTCCTTGTGCAAGCTCTCCCTCCGACTGTTCAAGCTCTGGCTCTCCTCTTAGCAGTAAGCAAACACATGAGCTTTCATGTCAGACACATACTCCACACTAAAGCTCCCACGACGTCGCGCTTCTCGTCGAAACGACGTCAGTTCTGGCTCGTTCAGTCTCCCAGCAGCTCTTTGCGCTTCCTACAATGAACAGTCACGCCTTTTGTCAGCCACTGGCATCTCCATAAGCAAATCTCTGAATCCGCCACTCACTTGATTCGCCACCCAGCGCAGTGGCAGCAAAATGACGAGGACGTAAAACGCCACCAGTAGCGACACAAGTGTAGCCATGACAACCTAGAAACAGTTTAGATGACGATCGAGACAAGTACAGAGAGGGGTAGACGACGTTCTTGACTGTCTATTTGTTTGTACGTACCATACGCAGAGCAGATAATGCAATGAGCTCATCTAGAGCCTGCGCAGCGAGTGGTAGTAGCCGCACGCGGCCCAGCACGAAGCCGCCGCCCAAGAGTGCTGCGTTAAAGAGCAGCGACCCCATTCTGTAGCTTCTCAGCTGCTCGTCATCCTATAGTTTTTCCAGCTACAGTATAGGATAACTCCTAGTGTTTTATCCAAGGGTGCACGTCGTTTCAGCCAATCATAATACGCATCGCGTCTCGACCATTCAATTTGTCCCTCGCCTTCCACTTCTCTTCACTTTTCAAACCGAAAGTAACGTCTCGCATCATGACTCTCGCTGCTCCGAAAGTGTACGTCGCCGTCTGAAGTTCCATCCATTCCATGGCCACGGCCCTTCTTCCTTCCTCTCTCGTGCTGCTGGATCATGGATAATCTCCTGCGTCTCTTTTCCTTTGCTTTCTGAGCAAAGGTGACGTACGGAAGGATCGTGAGAGTAAAGTGCATTCATGCGCTCTTCTCTTGAAATTGATACGGAGACAAGGTCCCTCTTGCCTCTATCATCTCCCAATGTGCTAGTTCCAAACAGCAGCATTCGTGGAGGAACATGGTGTGTGTGGCCACTAAGTTGCCACTCCACTCAAATGTAACTATGACGGGTGTATCGGGAGAAGCCGAGGCTGAGGTCAATGGCTTCGTCACTCCGATGCGTCATGCATCCCGTGTTAATCCTTGTACTTTGTGTCTTCTCTGCTTGATATGGTACGCTTCTACAGACTCGTTCCTGAGTCGATTCTCAAGAAGCGTCGCACGCTTCAGCAAGTGAAGGAAAAACGCGCGGCCAAGTCTGTTGCTGACAAGAGCCACCGCAAGAAGGTCCGTCAGATTGCCTTCAAGAGCGCGGAAAAGTACATCAAGGAGTACCGTCAGGTAAGAGCTCTGTATGTGTTGTTTATCCTTTCAAGCTCGTGGTTGACCTTGGCGCCTTGTCATGATTGCAGCTTGAAAAGCAGAATGTGGTTCTGCGTCGCCAGGCTAAGTCCACTGGCAACTTCTTCGTTCCCGCTGAAGCCAAGTTTGCGTTTGTGATGCGTATTCGTGGTATCATCGGCGTTTCGCCGAAGGTGCGCAAGATTTTGCAGCTTTTGCGTCTGCGCCAGATCCAGAACGGCGTGTTTGTGAAGCTGAACAAGGCCACCATCAACATGCTGCGTCTGGTCGAGCCTTTCGTCACGTACGGCTACCCGAACCTGAAGGTGACTCGCGAGCTCATTTACAAGCGAGGATTCGGCAAAGTCCGTGGCCAGCGTATCCCGCTGATGGACAATGCTATCATTGAGAAGTCTCTTGGTCATGTCGGTATCATTTGTATCGAAGACCTGATCCATGAGATCTTCACCGTGGGTGAGAACTTCAAGCAGGCTGCCAACTTTTTGTGGCCATTCCAGCTGTCGTCTCCTAACGGAGGGTACACGAAGAAGCTGCTGCACTTCGCAGAGGGCGGTGACGCTGGTAACCGCGGTGCCGAGATCAACAAGTTCATCAAGCAGTGTCTGTAGGGAAGTTTGTTGGTCATGACGGGTTTGACGGCAGCGTGTATCTGGCGTCTTAACAATTCGGTTTGAAAGATAATAAAGAGGTCTTTGGGACTCACCACCTCATGTGTCTGCGCTGAGTTTTCTGACACTATGTGATGGTTGCAAGATGAAGCTGTGAGGCTGGCTTTACTCTGTGCGAATAGATTGGTGGGTAAAGAGTTCAGAATTTGACAAAGCGCTGCTGAGTTAGAAAGTATTTGTCGGGAATATGTTACTGTCACCGTTCTATTCTGTCTCCGCCCTTTGGCGCTACAGGCACCGGAGGACGATCAGGTATCTACATAATGAGAAGGATGCCGCAAAGCCTATGTCATCGCATCAATGTTGCTTTGAGAACGGGTTTGCTTGATACAATGCTGCATTACTTAGAATGTATTCGCTTCACATTGTAGTCTTTTTTGGATGGCAAAAATGCGGTTTGGGTAACGACTGTAGCGCTCCACCAATCATAGGAGACACAAAACCTTGCATGCTTTGGAACTGGTAGGCTGGTAATCTACCGGTATTGAAGTAGCAGATAACTGGACGATGCCGCGACCGATCCTGAAGACGCTGTCGTCGTACGCAAGCCCTGTGAGATCTGCCAGTAGCGCATCCAAAAAAGAGCGGAAGCGTGTACCTGCCCGTCGACCTCTCAACACCAGCCGACATGTGACATTTTCGCCATTCACCAAGTTACGAGGAGGTTCGCCGACCAAGTCCCGCAGGCCATTACATACCGGTATGGAGACTGCAGAGTATCCTGACAAAGTAGTAATCGGTATTAGTTATCGCTTCTGATTGGCTGAAACTCTTGTGGACTTTTGTGCAAAAGATGGGAAGAAGACGATGGGTTCATTGACGTCAGGGTTCACATTCTCTAGCGCTACCGAGGCCGAGAAAAAGTGCGTGTGGATTTGCTCGAGGTGCTGTTGATGAGTGTCATCATGATGAATAACTCTTCTGGTGTCATGGCGTCAACGATGTTGATCAATTTCCAGGAAACAGTTGAGACGAAAAGAGGAGCTACGGACCATGCAACTTCTGCATAGAGCAGCAATGCGCAGACCCCATAGTATCAAGTCACTTTTGCTGAAGAACGTGCCAGGACTCCAGCGAGTGTACACATCGGTGAATGGATGGTTGGACTACGTGAGGGCTGTACGCGATTCGATACCATGGCTTCAACGTTCACGTCCGAAGCGACGACCAAGAAGACTACACCGACGTCCGAGAACTGCGCTAAACGAAGCGGACCACATGTATCTTCAGCAGCTCCCGCTACATTCGACAGTGACGCGCCCTACTCTGCTGCTACCTTTGCCAATGACGTCCAGGGGTAACGGCTGTGAAGCTCTGTCTATTTTCTATAGCTCACGGCAGCCAGATCTTACGCCAGCTAGTCGGGGAAGTTTTGCAAACCTGCTTCGTCGAAAAGGTATTCCAGTCGATGAAGACGAGCGTCAGGCGAAACGTGCCATTGATGAGGATCTGCTTGGCGTAAGGCATTTAGCAAAGCGTCGTCGTATTCATTAGTCACCCACGAACGCGGTCGGTGTTGAAGCTTTGAGCGTGTTTGTGTACAATCTTCAGCCGTAGCGTGATTGCGTGTGTATGAGCAAATTGTACGCGACTTTTACTCATGCTGTCCGGCATTATCTTTTTCAGGTAAACCTTCATCTTCACTCTCGCCAATCCAAGAGCTCATACGATCGCGATGATCAGTTTCAAGAGGTGTTCTGTTTATCAGCAGTCGCAGTGCACTCATTGCACGCTCATACAGCAGCTCTCGGACTTCGATATATCCGTAGACGCATCACTGTGTCACGGTAGTGGTAGCAATTGGCAACAGATAGAAGTAACGGTAGCAGCTGGAGGTGAAGAATACAATATGGGCAGTACGGTGTCGTCGTTAGTGTTTCAGCCGCCGCCTGCGACTTATGGATATACTCGTCGCTACTTCATCCTCGTGACAGCTATGCGTCATCGGATCCCCGCATTCTTCATTCCATTCGAGTGGGTCACATACTGCTGGGTGTACAATACGTTTTTCTGCTACATGTGGTTTCGCTAACATGTCAGCTACGTTTGTAGTAAGGCTGAATATACCGTGCTCTTTTCTCACGGAAATGCGGAAGGTAGGCAAAGATGTTGATTATCTCTCTTACATATGCAACTCAACAAACTTGCACTGATTGTGGCGCTTTTTGTATCAATGTCTTTGTAGATCTAGGGATGATCTACGGTTGGTTTCGTGAAGTAAGCAGAAGACTTCAGGTAAATACGTCACGCTTTATGCTTATACTGCGTCGCTTCTAATGCAAGCGTCGCCCAGGTGAACGTAATGTCTTATGATTATACTGGCTACGGTATTAGCGAGGGCACGCCTAGTGAAGAAGCTTGCATGGCTGATGCCGAAGCTGCGTTTGATTACCTCGTAAATGTGAAGAAGATTCCGCCTGGCAAAATTATCTTGTACGTAGCTTGGTGATCATTTCTGGTGCAGATGTTGACGGAAGAACTACTTGGACTCGTTCACTCAGATACGGCAGGTCGCTTGGTTCTGGACCAGCCACATACCTCGCCGTGAAGCAGTCAAACCTCGCACAGCCTGTGGCTGGCGTGATTCTCCAGAGTCCCGTGCTCTCCATGTTTCGTGTCGTCTTCAACTTCCGCTATACATTTCCGGGCGATTTGTTCTGCAACATCGACATCATAGAACAGGTGCAGTCGCCCGTAACAATTATCCACGGCACTCGAGACGAAGTCGTGCCTTTTTGGCATGGAGAAGAACTGTTTGAATTGTGCCCTCGGGAGTGGAGGTGCAAGCCGTTGTGGGTTACCGGTGCGGGTCACAACAACATCGAAGCTTACCTAAAGTGAGTAAGTAGGTTGTTATCAACGTCGAAAGTGGCAAACCTGGACTCACCCAAACTGCTATTACTGTGTAGCACACTCGGCAATGACTTTTTCCGGCATCTGATTGAATTTGTCCAGATATGTCACACGACAGCCATGATTCGAGCAACCGAAATGAAGGCGCTTATGGTAGCATGAACACATCTCAACGGGCCAAGCAGATAGATCACGAAATAATACCTTTAATTGGTCGGATAGGCTACGTCAGCATCACATGATGTACCCTTCGTCAAGTAACACTGACCCGAGACTAGTCGACCGGCCGGAAGTAACAACAATTTGACGAGCTAATGTCAAGGTTAAACCCGTCAGTTGTCTCCCTCAAACAAGACTGGCCTTCCTCTTCTTCACACCCGAGTTGTTCTGATCTCGCGAACGCAGCGCACCTACTACGGACGACGCAGAACCATTTGAGGAATTGGAAAGACCCTTCCGCGCAGTGAGAGGTTTCTTACTCGTTGCTTTCCGCTTTGTCGTAGACGCCTTCTTCTTGAGGCTAGAAGGGGACTGCATCTGTACGTCGTAAGGCTGGCCTTGTAGCTGCTTCTCAAGCTGCTCGATCTGTTGCTGCATTGCTAACTCCTTAGCCTTGAACGCGTTCTTGTTAGCAGTAATGATCGCACACAACTCATTTACCTTCTCGCGCTGTAAGTGAAGCTCAGACTCGAGCCGACTTACCGAGTGATCGCGTTCCTGTTCTTTCAGAATAGCAACCAGTTGGTAATGGAGCGACCCTTCAGTAAGCGAGCGATGGAGACACTGTTCCGTCGCGTTGTGCAGGGCGCTCAGCGCCACCGAACTGATCGGCAGCTCGCCGAGACTCATCGTCAGGCCAAGAAGTGTGCGATAAACACGCAGAAACTCTTGGCGTGAGATAACGTACAAATTGGCATTCTCTCGGGAACTCCGCAGCTCGGCAGGGTCGCTGTCCTCTCTCTCCTGCAGCACGTGCAGCTCTCCGTCTTTGTTCCACTGCAAATCTTCGTCTTCGTCGTGCGTTTGCTGTCTCTTGACAACCTCCGGCTCGTAGCTATCATCGTAGTCCGAGTAGTACCCCTGACCAGGTTGATCCTCAACATCGTCTCCTTCCACGCCTTCAGGTTCTTGCAGCAACTTCTGGTCGACCAAGTCCTGGGCGTCACGCAGCGACGCCAAGAACTCCTCTTCCTCTGATAGCCACGACTGGTGCGACATCTTCACATCCACTCCCTCCTCCTCTCCTGGCTCACACTCACTATCAGCAGAGAAGGACCACTCACTGAGCTCACTCGCATCGTCTTCTGTCTCCCCCGCGTCTTCCTTCCACGACGAAAAGTTGGCCACAAAGCTCGTCTTCGTATAGCACGCGCCAGGCTCCGTATCCGGTTCCTCCGGTGCGTCCACTGGCCGACTGAACAGCGAATGGCTCTCCACCAACTCCGTCACGTGGTACACCTCAGGCCCACACGCACGTCGAGCAGCAAGCAGGCAAATATCGTCGTAGCCATACATGCGGATACCAAAGTGCTCGCACGCGCGCTTCACATCAATGAGACGGAAGCTGCGGCGGCCGTCGTGCTGCATCATGACGACCATGCAGCCCATGATGCGGCGGAAAAAGTCGCGCACGTGGCGACGCACCTCGGCGGCAGCGCGGTCCGAGCTCGAGCGGAAGCCCGCGCGCAGGAGGAAGCGACGGACAGTCGCGTCGGGCAGAACCTCCTCGAGCGAGCGCGGCAGCCGACCAGCGCCACTCACATTCCGCTTGCGCACGCGGTACTCCATTGTTTCCGCGTGTGTGTGCGGGTTGCTGCAACGTGTGGCCGATTCCGCACTGAGCGTGGTCAGACGAAAAGTGAATGTAGCCGATTCCGCACTGAGCTTAGTAAAAACGAGTATTTAAATGTTGACAGCGCGCCAAGAACGTTGCCGTTGCCGTAGCGAAATAGCGATGGGGTTGGGGTATTTTACCTCATTTTAGCTCGAGCAGAGTGATGGTCCCGCCAAGTCGGAGGTAAAAGCTCGAGCAAAAGGGCGCGAAAATGGACGAGCGCGCGCAGCAGCGCATCACGTATCTGCTGCAAGAGATCGACGCGAACATCTGCGCGGCACACCGATCGGCCACGCAGATCTGCGCCACGGTGCGGAAACATCACCAGATCCTGCGGCAAATCCACGCGTCCTCGCGCGTCTGGCGGCCGCTCTTTGATTCGTTCACACAGCCCGTCGCAGTCCGTCGTGTGACGCGCACGCCGTCACGATTTTCACGACCTTTTACGCCAAGGTCAGAACCCAATGAAGTCCAGAGACTGCAGGAAGTCGCTATCGAAGACGAGGACGAGGACATGGAGGAGGAGTCGTCGTTTGTCAGTAGAGAGCAGACGTTCAAGACCACGACGCTCAAGAAGCACCAGCCGCTCAGTGGCGATCGTCGCAATGCCGACGAAGACAGTCTCGATGCCAGTATCAACAGTGAAAACCTGCCACGAATGTCACGCACGCCGTACATGTCGAAAGATGCCGCGGTCCACTCGACAGCCAAGACATCGCAGCAGTCGACGTCGACGTTTAACTCGAGCGATCACGGACGCTGGTCGCCTCGGATGACGTCACCACCTCGGAAAGGGGTCGTCTCGGTGCGTACAGTTGCTGCTTGTTATGTTGTCGTGGGGAGAGACAGGAGCTGATTTTGGAGTGAGTTGTGGGTGTGGGTGGAACTGAATGGCAGCGAGAGCAACCGAGGACAGGGGACGCTGGCGACCGACGGATCACGACGCCGCCGTCGGCTATTAGCAGCGTGGAGTGCCGCACTAGTCCCGGTATTAGCAGGAACCTCATGAAGATGGGTGCGTTCGAGTACACGCCACCACGTGGGAAGAAACTTATGTCCATAGCGGACGGGGAAGAAAAGGAAGGCGACAGCACGACGGATTCGATTGAGACGCCTTATTTTCCAGAGTTTAGCACGGTCCGGCTGTCCATTGCGCCTCGAAATGAGGCGGAACTGGCTGAGGAAGCGGATAGTACGTCGAGGTCGTCACGATCACCGGGGAAAGAGGATGGTTCTAGTCGAAAGCGGCCACGGTCAGAGGCTGCTCGTGAAAAGGATCGGACATCACTCGTGTACCCGAAGACCCACTATCCTGCAAAAGCCACGTCTCCATTCACGTCGCCTAGCTTGCGCAGGAAGTACAGCAGTAGAAGCAGTATATCATCAGGGTATCGACAGACACAAACGGAAGGGCAGACACCAGCCGCATCAACGCCGCCGCGAGAACGCAATGAGGCGTTTATAGACGACGATACACCTAGTACGCCCGAATTCGATCTGGCCTCGCCGTTGTTGCGCACGCAACTAAAGGCCATGACACCAAATACTCCACTGTCAAACCGTCTGGTTGGTGCCAGCCTTGACGTTGGCAGTGTGTCTCAAGAGACGCGGTTGCAGGACTACGACGACTCGATCAGCGCCGGGGAGCCGACTCCAAAGTTTGAGCTTTCGTTGCTGCCAGCAGCATTTCAGGTACGGCCTCTGCGGTGTTTTGGTCTACACTGCTGGCAAAGGACTATCTGTACTAAGCCCTTGTCTGTGTAAATGGATCTGCAGCGAGGAATTGGTGCCGTGCAGGTGTCGACATTGTACAGTAAATTTCAAGGAACAGCTGATGATACTCCAGCAATTGTGAGTATTGCATGTGCTTGACGCATGCAGGCATTTGTTTTGTCTCCATCTTATCTTCTGCGTCGATGTGCTAACGTCACTCGCTACCTGCTACTTGTGCACAGAGCGTCGACCAGCTTATGGGTGTGCTACCTGATTATGGGAAGGAAAAGATTGAGATCCTGCTGGACACGCTGGTCTCGAGACGGCTGCTGAGGCCGTTTGTCGTGGAAGGCACGATGTTTTGGCAGAAGGCAACATGAGTGGCCAGGACGGTTATAGGAGTCAGATCAATCAGGACGTCCGTTTCTCAGTAACGGTCTTGTCAATGATGCAATAGACGTTGTCAAGTCTTTGAAGCTCTCGCTTGGTCTGCTCAAAAAGGTGCTTTCGTATGGAGCAAATGGGCAGTAGAGGGTTCATGACATGTCGCCACTTGGCTACATGCGATGTAAAACTACGCCACCATAGCAACCAGGGGCAAAAAGTAAGTTCATTAGTGAGTGGTGTTCTCTGGACTATCTTGTGGCTAGAGCGCCCTCGACAAGAAGTCGCGACACGTTCGGGCGCCCTGCGCCATCGTCGCATCATACATAAAAGGCATCAAAAGTTCATGTCGATCAATAAATAGATTCACGCGAGCAAACGTCTGCAGGTGAAAAAAAAGAGTCAGGGCGCTGAGCAGAATGTATCGGCTCCGAGTTCGTCGCTGCCACTCAGTCGCTCTGGACCACATAGACCGTCGACGCGGATTGAAAGTCCAGCAGCGCGTCGTCTTCCACGGCGAAAAAGGCCTCGTGCAAGTTGTCCGACAAGAGTTCGAGCGACGTGCTGCGCTGCACAGGGAGCTTCGTCGGTCGGTCCTCGGCGAGATCGAACGGTTCGTCTCCACTACTGCAGCTGAGCTCATTCTCATCGTCGTCACTGCTGCTGCTGCTCTCGTCGGACGACGTCACGCTCTTGGGCGACGCCAACAGCAGCGAGAGCGACGAGGCCTCGACCGACTTGGACATGAGCAGAATACTGTCCACTAGCGCCTGGTTTTCACGGCTCACTGCGCCGTCCTCCTCGTCGTCCGAGGCAGAAGCAGCAGCAGCAGCGTCGAGGCGGGCCCGCCGATCATTCTTCTTGGTCATGAGCCGCTCAATCTCGCGCTGAATATTCTCCTTCTCGTCCGACTCGAGCACGTCGGCATCGCCGAACTTTTGTGCATAGCCAGGCAGCAAATGATCGACAAAATTCGGGTCCACGGGATCGTAGAAATAGCCGTCGCCGACTTTGCGCTTGCGACTCTCGCGCTTCTCGTCGAGAAACGGTTGACGCCATTGCCAGGGGCACTTCATGATTGCTTGGTGGCTTGATAGGGAGCATGAGGTGGTGGGCGAGTTCATGGCGGGGCAAAAAGGGACGGACGGACGGGCGGGGTGAAAAGACGTCGCGCTTGTTGGGACGAGCGAGGGAGGAAGGAAGGAGAAGGAGGAAGTCTGTCGAACCCAGGTCCTTGGAAACGGTGGCTGGTTGGTAAGTGGGGCTTTACTTGGAGACGTCGGGTGTGTTATTTCCGACTGACTCTTGATGGCTCGTTTTTGTCGTCAAGATCTTGATCCCTTCCCCTGTGTTCTCGAAAGCGAGATGATGGCTGGCTATTAATAGGCAGCAAGCTCACTGACAATGTCACTGTGAGAGGTTCTCTCGTGGAACATCCGAACATCCGGTGCAACGATCAAGAGTGATTGTCTCGTGCCGAGAAAACGTAAACTAGCTATTAACACGAAGATACGTGCGTTCGGGTTTCATCTTCTGCTTGTGATACACTACGTACACTCGTACCCGCTCAACAACAGTGTCTATTTGTATCGGGAGAGGCGATTGCCAGCACGGCGCTGTCTAGCTACTAGAACGTTTCTTTGTTCATGGAACCTTGGGGATTGTATGCTTCGTCCGTACGGCGCGTCGATGCCGCGCGCGTCAGTTTTGTGCCCCTACTCTTTCGCTACCACTCATCTGTGGTGCTCCCGGACAGCGCTGTTTCTGTGCATGTCACGGAATTTTTCAGTTCTGTCAGAGCTTCGTAAATGATTTACCCATCATCGATTTGCACCACAATCGTTGCAAATAGGTTAAAAACAAGGTCGACATCCAGCGACGATTGGTGGGTGGTGGTTGTGCGTGATATTTGGGGCTGTGTCGACGGTTGAGTTGATAGCAAGCAGCCACCCGTTCGTGAACGCTGACCAATGGTCCAACGGTTGCGGGAAAAGCGCTGTGGTGTCACAGCTAGTGAACTAAAGACCGATCGTTCGATGCGTCTCCCGTCGACACTGCCTTCGAGTCGCGCACACTCGACTAGTCCATGGACTCGTGCAAAAATGATGGATGCCTCGCTTTCACGCAGCTACACTCGATGCCTTGGGTGGCAACTTCTTTTCAATGCGCGTGAAAGTCATTCGATAGTAAGTGCAGTGGGGTTGAAGTGAACCGCTGCTTGACGTTTGTGACAGTCAACCAGACGCGGCTGTGGCAGCAGGCTCACCACCACTCATTTTTTGGCTCCTTCATAGGGGTCAACAAAGAAAAGCCAACAGGTGCTGCTCACCATCTGGCCAGAGCCGGGGCTGTTATTCTCTTCAGTCCACCGTTTCTGACCGCATGCCTCGTGCTTTTGAAACGACACTGTCGAGCCTCAATAGCACCTGACAGATGGATTAAATGAGCTGAAAAGCAGCGACGTCGTGTCTGCTCTCTCCTGAACAGACATACGACGCGTGTAGTGTGGAAAGTGTCATAGGCGGACCTGCTGATGAACGGCAACAATTCTTTGAAATCGCTAAATCTCAAGTGCAAGAAGAGCAGTAACAACTGTCTCAATATATTGTTGATACACAACACGTGCTACCTATCGACCACGGGCTGTTGTGGGAAAGGGACGCATGAAGAGAATACAGGCATCATCCATAAATCGGTAAAAAGACTAGAGATTGGACTGCATTCAGGCACTATGAAGGCTATGACTTAGATGCTCGTGTCATTTGTCTTGACGTATGAGACTACTTGAAGGCTGCGTGAATAAATATTGAGAGCGCTAGAAGACGGTAAAAAAGACTGAGAAGTTGTAGGGGCAACTAGAAAGCAAACTGATAATGCTGGAAGAGGACGATGGGATGGTCGATCATAGGTAGCTCGACAGAAACAGAGTGGGCAATAAATTCGCTGAAATGAGGCGTTTGCATTGGTACCTGAAGTTGTCTGCCGAGATCATTGCGCTACTACCGTCATGCGAGTGGTTGGTTCAATAACACCCAGTAGTCGTTATTCGACGGGTACGAGGTTGCGTCGCCAGCGATACGCCAGATAGAGATCGTGATACTTTCGCACCTGTGAGAGCGCGAGCTGAAGAAACCACGAAGTGGAAAAAGACACCGTGCGAGCAGAATGGCTAGTCTGTGCCAGAATACATGAGACTGAACAGCAGCAGAAAGGCACGAATTAGTTACATATTATAGAATTACTTTGAAATGTAAATGCCGTTTGAAATTACATTTCGCACGGCTAGAGCGTCTCCAGCAGTGAGAACAATCTTTCCTCTGACACGGAATACTCCGATATGGAATACTCTCTGCTATGACATGCAATCAAGCCCCCACCGAGCGCATTCCGTATCACAAGGAAGACGTGCATCTTTACTTCTTGTGCACCAATTAGAGACCGGTATGATTTCCTCTCAAACTTATAAGCAAAACACTTCACAGCGGTCAGTATAACTCAATGTCATAAGTGTGTTTCGGTCGAACGTGACTGGTAAAGCTGTGGTCGCCTTGGTTTAGTTTTTGGTCCCCAGTTAGGCTCAACAGTACTATGTTGCTAGTGTCAATTAGAATGACGTCGTCAACTTCGAAATCATCGATTTTCTCTCTCAACTGCAGCCCATGATCTGCAACTAATCTTTGCCAATGACATGATTGATCTCGAAATCCTGAGCCAATGGCATGCAGCCAAAAAAAGTTACACCGGGTGTTGCAGAACTACAAGGCGTAGGCGAGATGACGAAAAAATCACTTTCTCGAGTTATCTCCGAGTTAATTTCGCCGCTGTAGCGCACTCTTATGGGTGTAACTGAATGACGTTTTTGATTGGACAGAAAGCTAAGTTATACTGACTGCAGTGGGTGTTCTTACGCAAGAAAACATACGCGTCCAAAGTATGGTAAAGGGGGTACTTTCAAAGGGGTAATGTCAAATACACCCCACTTCTTGCTATGTGTACCACACCTATATCACACCACAATACAATTTGTACGCCAAATGTCGCACAACAATCGGCATCCATCGTACAAATGTTAAGTGATGTTACCAATTAAACTTCTTTAACAGGCAATGACCTGGTCCTGTACCACATCCAGGATAGGCTCGATCCAAATTAATTCGTTTGTTTAATTCAATTTTATTCAGCAATGCAGTGTTCACTGCGATGGATGCAGCAATTTTGGCTCGGTCAAACGTATATTTTTTCGTTCATTTTCGTACCTTTCTCGACTAAACTTGGCCGTTGCGAATTCTGACGGATAAAATAGCAGTCCAGATATATCGGACATGTAGTGAAGAGTGCGTCGTGGTCGTTGGTCAAGCCGGTTACGGAGAAAGGAGCTTCAGTCGTCAATTGCGTGCTAAAAAGAAGCTTTGTTTTTAAATCACTTGATGTTGTACTCCAGACACAGATTGTGCGATCTCGGTCGTTTATTGGTATGGTGGCACGATATTCATCGTACAAATCATAGTGGTGTGGTATGGGCGTAGTGAATGGGGTGTATTTAATTAAAGCGGGGTGTACCAAAATTCCCCTTTGATTCATTAAATTTGAAATAATTTCTAAGTTGCGTTTACACTTCGACCAGATCGAATGGCTTGTATGTGTTATCCATTCCTCTTGACCTCTCCACATCTCGTGTGCTGTCCTTGGAGCTTAAAGTAAATTTTTGGGATAGCACTTAATGCATTAATCAGCATTAATTGATGTTTTTAGATTGCTTTGTATTGCACCTTCGTATTGTACGCATTTTTGTGCACGCGGCAAGTTACGACAAAACTACCGTATCTAGTTCATGTTTAATGATATTGACACAACAGATATACAAGCAATGCCAAATCACTAAATCATGACGAAAATTACATGAGCACGTTGACATTCAATGAAACGACCAAAACTCAAATAGACTGCACTCGAGACGTCATCGCAAGTTTCCTTCTTGAAAATATATCTGCAGATAGTGAATCCCGAATGCATTAAACTTTTATAATAAGGTTTAAACAAATAAAGTTGTTTCATAATACCCTATTGATAAGATTACATGTTTTCAGCAAACCAGCTAATGATCTAGATGGGAATGCGATACCACAACTAAAAATCAACAACAAACTCAGAAGCAGCAGCAGCCAGAAGCAGTAACGAGTAACGCAACAAAAACACCAGCATAAATACATTACAATAATCCTAAAACAAGCAGCAGTACTATCAATAGCAAGTTAACACCAACTACAGCAACAGCAGCGCCAACAGCAGCAGCATCGTCAGCAGTAGCAGCAGCTAAATAACAACACTAAAGCTAAAAACAAGCCCCCAGCAACGAAAATAAAGACTATTTTAACAATAATAGCAGTGTAAAACAATTTCAACAGTAGCAATAATGATAGCAAAGACAATACCATTAATTACAACAACACCAGCACCGATTACCGACATGTACAGCCGGTAACCGACATGAACAGCCGATTACCGACATGTACAGACGATTACCGTTATGTACAGCCGTAGCCTACGATATAAAGATGCGTCTTCCCTGTGCCGCCGCGCCCGCAACTAATGGCTGCGAGTGCAGCATGCCCGTACAGATCTCTACGTAGCTCCCCCTACAAGTTTAATTATGGCCATATAATGGATATCAAGAAGTGACAAAACACATGAATTTGGATGTGTATCATGTTAACGTATGCGTACTAGGACGTGGTGCATTTCTTTTTCTTATTAATTTAGAACATAAATTTTCCCCATTTGAAAAGTACATGTAATAACCCAAACGAATATTGTAGATCTGACCGATTTAACGGTGATCTACAAGGGGCTTAATACGTCAACCCACTTCATCCTGCTCTAACTGTCATATAGGGCGAAGCATCCTCTCAACTTCACACAGTGGCTAATACTAAAAAGAACTGTCTTTTGTTGTAGCAGCAGAGGCTGTTCAGAGCCGATGCATTATAAAAATGACCGACGACGAAGGCTTCCTACAGGCAATTTTTTTGCAAATGTGTGATAACGTAATACCAGTGCTGCACCTACGAGATAGAGATCCAATTCTTAAATGACACGACAAATCCACTACGCTTGCGGACGCATGGACCTCGTCTTTAGCAAGAACACCACCAGGTGATAGACAGCAGTTGATAAGCTGGATGAAACCGGCCAGAACATCTCTAATTGAAGTTTTCGATCCTAACATATTTATTATGGATGACCGGGTCGGAGCAGACTATATGGCATGCAAGCAAGGAAAATCCAGCAAACCCTTAAGACTTGGAAACGTAATTAATCACACTTATGCGAATTTAATGATCCCTTTGATGGGGAAACTTTCATAATTCTAATAAAGAATCAAGTACTTACTTCATTTCCAAAGACTGAATTCTTTGTCTTAAAAAGTAAGGATTCGGTAGAAATTCTTTAAATGAGCTCCCACTCTCACCTCTTAACACTAAATTGTTATTTTACGAGGATATTTATACAAAGATGCGCGATACGCTAGTCAGTATTAAACATCTGCAACATCAAGATTTCGCACCCTGCAGAGATATTGAGGCCACTCCACACTTCTTCGCATGTGACCAAACAAGCGCCTCTGTATCAGCGGAACAGCGCGACGCTCCTGCGATGCTGCTGGATTTTGCGAAGGAGTACAAATCATTAGATAGAGAATTTTGCTACGCCACACTAGTTGGAAGACACGTCGATCCCCCACGCTAAGAGGGTGATCTTATTGCTTCATGCTGGCTTTGTAAAGGGTTCACACAAATGGCTGGTTAAACTGGTATGGCACCGTGTGATCAACGCATAAAGATATCAGTGGAAATTATAGGCGTATTTTGTACCCAATACGTTATAGCCATAATACAGTTTCAATCAGATTACGGTTAGCTGGTATTTATCGTAGATGTATCGTCGTTGTTCTGGTTTGGCAGTACAAGAAGGACCAATTTTAGTGTCCTAAATAGGGTTATATAGGTTTGAGGTAAAATACGTGAATAATGTTTATAATTAATATGAGTCAGTAAGTATCTAATATGTTCCTCTTTTAGATCAGTTTCAGACACGTGTCTTCCTAAGACTTCTCTGGTCATATAAGAGCCTGCGGGAAGGCTAGTGATTTCGAGCATTTGTTCCACGTAATTTCTTGGCGTCACTAGTCCCCTGTTCCTCTGCACGTACTAGTGTACGTGAAGTTTCGCGGCACCCCAAACAAAGGGTGCCCCGTTACACCTGGTAGCACTTGGTGGTCCGTCCAACGACTACTAAGTGTCCAACGAACATGAACATGTTGGACGTAGAAGACGACAGCTTTCTCGTCACATGTGAAGGCTACTCCCATCTGAGTGACTCAGAATGGGAGATAGTCTGCCGCACGAGTGTGCTCATGGGATAACCCGCCATCAGTGGCGTGTTGGAGTCTATAAGCAGAGGCCAGCAACAAGCTGCTATCAACAAGTTCCTACAAGGGGAACTTGCTGTCGAACGACAGAAGATAGCCTTGCACAGCAGCAAGGCTCTCATCAGTCGATGGGTGGGCCGACGCACACGGGTCAACCCGAAACCTTCAATATAGACATCTCAAGGTACAAGGGAACCGATATAGATTTCTCTTTGAGATGGTTCGTCGAGTTAGACGACGCCATCAGGGCCCGTCACATCGAGGGTGACGAGATGCAAGTCACCTTCGCCGTCTCAAATTTGACGGGACGAGCGAAGACTTCGGCCTTGGGGCTCAAGCTTAACGACCCAAACGTGTTTGAGTCGTTTAAGATCTTGAAGTCTCGGCTCAAAGAAACATTTGAGCCGCCAATAGCCAAGTTGAGAGCGCGATCTGCACTCTTGAGGCTAAAGCAAGGTAAGCGTGACGTGCACGCTTACGCACAGCAACTGCGCTACCTTGCAAGTAGCGTTACGGAGAACCCTGTTGATGAGCATACGCTCATCAACGTATCCATCTACGGCCTTGTGGATGGGCCGGTGAAGACCTACATGTTCCGAGAGGACTTCCATACCCTGAAAAGGCTATAGAGTCTGCGGAACAAGAAGACTTCAGCCTGAGACAGTCTCAGGCTAACTCGTCCAACTATCGTCCGACGAGGCGACAGGAAACAGGAGGTCCTGATCCAATGGACCTCTGTTACACCGTGAGCGAGAACTCTCGCTCTCTGAGTCACAAGCGAACGGCAAGATGCCACCGCTGTCAGAAGATTGGACACTACGCTCATGAGTGTAGTGTCCCGAGCACTGCAACACGTCCGAAGACAGGACGTGATGACCGCCTTTGGCCAAGGAAGGGTCCGAGACGTGGGTCTTACCATGTCGCCAATCCGCGACAGCAAGTCGGACCGCCAAAAAACGGGCAGGGTCAGTAAGGGCGGAGAACCCTGCTGATCCAGCAACTTCAAGAGAATTTGCAGGACTCTTGACGAAGATTGCTCCCAACACACAGTCTCTGTGTGTTACTGCCCCTAGTGATGAGGTGTCCCTCATCACTTTGAAGATCGAAGTGACAAGTGGAATTTCACTTCGCGCCCTAGTTGACTGTGGGGCGTCGAACAGTTTTATCGACGCCAGTCGCTAGAGGATAGTAGGCTAATCTATGTTGAACGAGAGTTCACTCCAACGAGGATGACGGTGTGCCTTGCTACAGGCGCATCCGTAACAGTGAACAAACGTGTAGTGGGATTTCACTACACGCTATAAGGAAAGCAGTACGATGATAACTTTATCGTATTAGATTTGGATGACAAATTTGATGTCATCCTTGGTCTGCCATGGCTTAGAAAGTACCGGCCATGGGTTGGCTGGCAGCATCGATCCGTGAAGATGCCTGCCGTTTGTTCATCGGATGTCCATCTGATGAACGTCTTGGAGCGTCCGCAAGCGTGTGGATGTACTACGAGTGAGTGCGATGGCCTCACTTGTGGTACGGTCGTTAGTACGATTGAACAAGATCACAGTGTAGAAGTCCACTGCACTGTGGAACCAGCTTCCGGTACCTGTGTAAAGACACAGGCTGCGCCGAAGGTTCACCACTCAAAGAGATCGAGTGGACTGGAACACGGATGCACACCATGAAGGGTGCATCCGAGAAGAGAGAGTAGTGTTGTTCAGGATGGAAAACACGTTGAAGCGAGATAGACTGTCAGAGAGTTGATCGTAGAGCAAGCCCGATCGACTGAAAGAAAGTCGATCGAAGAGGACGTGACTGTGGTAGTACACCCACAGGCAGTACACGTATTGGAAGAAAGTTCCAGCGTTCCTGAGAATGACAACTCCCGATATGGTTATGTTGAGAGTGTGGATCCCCAACCACCTGCGAATGTGTTTTCCCAGGAAACCACCGAGTCAGTGAATGTCTTGGTGAATGACGGATCAAGTGTAGGCGCTTATACACTTGATCTGGTTACAACCCCATAGTCAGCTTCGGATGTAGTCAAGTTGCCAACGCTAGAATCTAAAGATTCTTGCGAGATCTGCGTAGTGAAAAGATCAAGCAGATCTGCGTACTCGTCACAGAGGACGAGTACGTCACCGATATTCGGTCGGCACAAGTGTTTGCTGAGAACGAACGGGTTCTCAGTAGCTCATCGATGGACGAGAGTGTCCTCGATGAAAAGACTCGGATTGAGCGATACACGTCTCAATCTTGGGAGTCTTTAAAAAAAATCCTTCGTATAAAGATTTGGTGAATTTCAGGGATGTCTTCCCGGAATCCGTGCCATGCGAGCTGCCCAAGGACAAAGGCACTCGGCATGAGATCGAACTGAAACCTGGTTCGAAATACTGTGTCATGAAGCAGTGGACACTGTCTCGTGAACAGGTAACAGCGATCGACAAAATTCTTTGCCGATCGTTTAGCGGCTGGTCATGTGAGGGAATCAACATCCCCACACAGCTCTCTGACCTTCTGTGTGCGGAAGGCTACAGGAGGATGGCGGATAGTGCACGCGTTCAACAGATTGAATGCTGCAACGGTACCGACTCAAACGCCGATCCCAAGAAAGGATGTCATCATAGATGGTATGGCAAAAAGTACCATCTTTTCATCCATAGATTTGATGGATGGATTCTATCAGATCCTCATGCGTGAACGGGATATCCCTTGCACAGCAGTGAGCACCCCCAGTGGTGTGCTCTGGGAGTGGTTAGTGATGCCACAGGGGCTAAGTAACGCCCCCGCAACGTTTAACAAATATGTTATGAATCTGTTGCGATCGGTGCGCGACTTCGCACCGAGCTACTTCGACGATGTCTTCGTCCATAGCCGGGCTATGGATGGAAGAAGGACGTGGAGGCTCACAGATTCCACTTCCGGGAGGTTCTTACACTTGTGCGAGAGCATAAGTTGTTCGCGAAACTCAAGAAGTGTATCTTCGCAGAGAACGAAATACCACTTCTTGGATGCATCGTGGATAAAAACGGTGTACGCCCTGATCCGGAAAAGATCGAGGCGATTAGCGACTGGCCTGTGCCAGTCGACGTCAAGGGACTTCGAAAGTTCCTTGGCTTCGCGGCGTACTTGCACAAGTACTCGCGCAACTATGCCGAGATGACCGCACATCTCTCTCGTCTGCTAAAGAAAAACGAAAGGTGGTCATGGAGTGCTGAGTGTCAGCATTCTTTTGAAGGTATTAAGAAAAGCTTGGTTCAATCGCCTGTGTTGGCGATTGCAGACCAGGACAGACCATTCCATGTGGTCTGTGACGCTAGTGATTTTGCGACCGGCTGCGCGTTAGTGCAGTACGACTCAGACGGCGTTGAGCGCGTCGGCTGTTATCAATCGCGTCAGATGCAAGCGGATGAGCGAAATTATCCGGTTCATGACAAGGAACTCCTTGCCATGAAATGTACACTGGCCAAGTTTCGGGTGTATCTCTTAGGAGATAGGCCCTTCATCGTTTATACCGACCACGCGTCGTTACGCACTGCCGTAAACAGCCCGCAACTCTCTCAACGAATGGCGAGTTGGCTTTCTTTCTTCGCAAAGTACAACTTCTCCGTCGAGTATAAACCAGGACAACTTAATGTCGTCGCTGATGCTCTTTCGCGTCGGCCCGATTTCAAGCCGACTGCTCAACCCAACAGAGGGGGTGATCCCACTGTCGCGACACTATCAGTGAGTGTTCCGTCGTCGAATCTGCTCGACTACGTGCAAAAAGCATACGCAGAAGACGAGTCTCTTCTGTAATTGATGGAATATGTATCCAATCCATGCAGTCAAGCTTTAAAAACTTGTCGTCTAAATACCGCTCTTCAAACGAACGGTATTATATCCGTGATGGACTGCTGTACTATACAGCAGTCAACGGCGACACACCTCGTTTCGTCGTTCCCGCTCATAATGATTTGCGATTGCGCATCATGTGTGAGTGTCACGATGCCCCAACAAGTGGGCATCACGGCAGGGAAAATACTTACCTCGTGGTGAGTCGTGACTTCTACTGGCCCCGCCAGTATGAGTTTGTGCGCAATACATTCGCGTTTGCAAATTTTGACAACGGGTGAAGACCAGACCTTCATCCCGTGCACCCTTGCAGCCTTTACCGATCCTGACAGAGTGTTGGCAGATCGTATCGATGGACTTCGTCTTTGGGTTTCCCAAAGACGCCCACAAGTATACTGGTATTCTTGTGTTTGTTGATCGTTTTAGTAAGATGGTACATCTTGCGGCTGCACCTGAGTCAACCACATCCCAGGGCTGTGCTCGTGTCTACATCGATACTATCTTTCGACTTTACGGGTTACCCCGTGAACTCGTGTCTGATGGAGACCCCCGCTTTACAGCGGAGTTCTGACAATCCGTGTTCCGTTCACTTGGAACACGTTTGACGATGTCAACTTCTGAACATCCCGAAGCAGATGGTCAAACGGAACGCGTCAACCGCGTTCTCGAAGAGATACTTCAAGGGTATGTCCACTCGTTAACGAGCTGGAGTGAGTTCTTGCCGATGGCGGAATTCGCCATCAGCAACTCGGTGCACGCGTCGACAACGCATACACCGTTCTTCGTGAATGGCCTACGCTATCAACGTTTACCTGTATTCTTAGAGTGTGACTCTAGTTTAAGGGGGTTGGACTTGTTCGAACAAAAACCGATCTGGTTCTTGCTCATCACCCGTCGACAATGGTGTCGACGTGATGGAAGCCGATGTCGATGGGATCGATGTCGATGATGACGATGACGACGATGCTGGCATATTCAGCATCGCCAATGACCGCCAAAGTGAGGACGATGATACCCTCACTGGTGAAGAAAACGTTCTTTCAGCAGTGCACACGAAGCGAACTGCTGTTGACAAGGATGAATCAGCAGAGGAATTTCTGCTGACTCGCGAAGCGGTTGTCCGCTTCGTTCAAGATATTGCAGATGCACTAGACAGACAGAAGAGAAACGCAGACAAACATGGAAGAACAAAAATTCTTTCATTTATTGAAGCAGATTTAGTTTTACTGTCTACAGTAAACTTACCGAAGCACGCAGTGAAAAACGTGGGCAGCAGTAAATTACTGCCCAGGTACATCGGTCTATTTCGTGTGTTGCGCCGAATGGGCAACGCATAAACGATTCATCCCCGTAACATGCGCACGCATCCTACGTTGGTCGTCTCCGCCCGTACTATCAGTACGAACCCGTTTTGAGATGCGAAGAACACCTTCACGGTCGAGAGCCGAGACCACCCTCGAGTGGTCCCGTTTCAACGAGCTCGTCTGGTCGACTAGCGAAGCGACCTATTCACGCAGCTCAGCGATGTCTCGACGAGATGCAGCCAGCTCATTACGAAGAGAACGATTCGAACGTTCGTTCTGAAGTTGCGCGAACGCAAAAGCAACACGACCGTCCGAACGATCGTGCGTTAGGGAATTATAATTATCCCTCACAAGATCCTCAAGCCCATTACGCCGAGATCGTTCATGAGCTAGGTCATCTTACAACTGTTCCGTTAGACGGTTCAGCTCTTGAACATCAACTTGATCCGACCCTCGAGCCAGATCAGGTGTTCCCATCGCCACCACATCATTTGGTGGACTCAAGCGGTGGTCAACGCTTCCTAGTGGAGCGTATTTTGAACCACCGCGATGTGAATGGAGTCTGGACGAGTTATCTCGTCCGCTGGCGTGGCTATCCACCAGCCTGGGACAGATGGAAGCCTCGTGCCCAGCTGATTGTTGATTGTTGATGTCCTTGGTCTCTTCGAGCAATGTGACGAGACCCACCCCCTACGTTCGAAGAAGGTCCGTCGGAAAACGACCTCCCCGAACGCGAGTACAGGGATTGCAAAGTATCAATCCCTTCGGTCATCTCGGAAGAGATGCGCGCCCTCCAGTATGGATCATTAGGAATGTAGGCCTCCCTAGGGGCACGATTCGAGTTGTCCAGACAACCTGGACACGAAGTACCCCACGAGAGACAGGATAATCTTACCTCTCTTGACAGCCGGTGCAGCTTGTATCGAACCCCGACTGGGTTGCGCTTCTCAAACTGGATGCGAGCTTCATCAAGTTTACCGAGCCAGGCCTAACGGCCAATACACTCGATGTTGTGGATGAGGGTATTCCATCCTTGCACCAAGGCCTTTCCGTTTCGAACACGGCTGTCATTGTACCACCGATGTTTGAAAAATGCATCGGTGAAGAATTCTTCCTCAGCACGGATAGTTTCTATGCTGGAATTAAGAGGACAGATTCTTCTACAGTCGAACAATGGGATTCGATCCCGATCGGTAGTCATGCCGGCCAACCGGTCCAACTCTTTGTATGACGGCATCCAAGGATACTCCACTTGAGGAGCGTGGCGCAGGACATTTCGGTCCCTGGCCTCTTGATTGGTGCCAGCATGAGCACTGGCACCAGTGTTACCCCGATCCCTTGGGTTACTTTGCTCGTGGTGACGCATAGGTGTATCACCACCATCTCCACGCGTCCTATCGTTGGATGGACTTGCGTGGGGCGGAGACTCATCGGAATAATCACTCGATCCGAAGATTCTCGGTCATGAAGCTGCCGCGCTGACCAGAGCCAGTCAGCCTGGCTTTTGCAGCGTCCGCCCCGGGTAATCCCGAGGCGTGAGGAGTCGCCTTCGAGTCGGATGCATCATCCGACTCGCCAGAATAGATGAGCTCAATCTCAGACTCATCTGGATTACGATTCGCGGTACCCGCTGCAGATGCAGCGGATGTATTGTCGCACGTGGTGACTCACCACGTGGAGGATTCACAACAACAGGCGACGAATCGCCTGCTGCTGAGGCGTGAGAGGAAGTTTCCGCGGCCGCACGCATGCGTGCAGTCGCCCTTCTTGCTGCTGCAGTAGCAACTCGCTCAACTTTTAAAACCATGCGTTGGATTGGCAAATGAATGGAATTTGACTAAAAAGTGCTCTCTTTCCCAGGTGATCCAACGGTGGTCACCCTGCCCCAATCAAATCTATGTAATAAACGGGTGATTGATGGAAAAGGTGGGTGATGTAACGGGGTAGCCCGTTACATGAAATTGACACCAAACGGTGTCAATTGGAATATTGTCTAGTATGACGATATTCTACCGATATTATCCGAGATGAATAATATCGAAGGAACATTATCCCCTTTTGGATAATATTCATTCGCTGCTCCAAGATTGGTTGATAAAAGACATATCAACCCATAGATTAACACCAATCGCTGCTAGACGCGCGCAATGAGTGGTGAGCAGGTTGTCGTCATACGACGACATTGTCTATTAAAGTTAGATGAAGACTGAAGTTATATTGATAGCTTAACTAAATTAAACAAAGTTCTCTTTTGACCCTTCACTCAGCTTAGTTGTTATGTATATTAACTTCCTCTGCACATACTAGTGTACGTGAAGTTTCGCATCAACCCAAACAAAGGCCGCCCCGTTACAACGCTTGCAAGTGACACATCCTTGGATAAATTTTTCAGTACCGGGCTCATTTCTGACTACTTGTAAGCTGGTCGCATTGTATGATATTTTCGTTAGCTACAGGGTGACATAGATTGGCGTGATGCCATTCCACAATTTTTTTTCGCAAGCCCGTTAGAATAATAACTCGTTTTTAGTAGGTTTATCAAGCAAGCTCCCATGGCATTTATCTTTTTTGTAAACAGGGTCGCTTGTGGCTTGGACGCGACGATGATCTAGTGCTGCTTTGAGCCCTATTCAGCTCTTTTAAAATGGAAAGGACATGACCAGGTAAAATAGGCATATGAAGTCACTCGCCTCTAATCTTCATGAAGAGATGAGGATTCCGTTGAGCTGGTGTTGATGTTTGCGATTTAAATACCACGAAATAGAAGATAGCTTTACCTGAAGTACAGATTACGTATTTTGATATAGTGTGTACCGTAGATCGAGTATAATCATACACAAAGGCGTTTTGTCCCGATTACAAATGACTATATTTCTTTACTTAAGCTGTGCTGTCTTTGTCAGGTACATTTTACTCATACGCTACAGTGTCCTAAAGATCCAAAATGTCCACTGGAAGCTTGCATAAACCCTTTTCTACTATGGGTGCTGTAACGGTTGGACACCGACTAATGCACTCCGTGATAGGGTGTCAAATAGGTTGTCCCATTTTCAGTATTGGTCATTGTACCTCCATACTTGCATTATTTAGCCAATGTTATATATTGTGATCTACATGGGAGGTTACCATCTGCCGTTCGGCGAAAGTTGGATTTCTTTGTGTTGGTCAACCCGAACACTTGCTCACGTATTTATTGCTTGATTTGCCGGTGCAGAAGCCATTCCATTAAAAAGTCGCAAATGATGCGAGAAGCAACCCCTTTAGATGAGATCCGCCATGTCTACACATTAGCGGTCAACGTCTTTGAGATGATCCGCCTTGAGCGGATCCTGGTTGCGCAAATATTCTATAATCTTTTACTACCTTCCGCCACGCAAATGGAGCGAGATACTATGTTCTGTAGCATTTTATAATCCGAATACAATCCTTGTATTTAGCCACATTGTTAGTGGTGAATGCGCCTATAGGTGATACACTTTCCATCCAGTAAATGATAAAAATGTCGCTGTTTATCCCCATGACACATAACAAGGCACAACTTCTCCTGGTCTAGGATTATCACTTGCGCCTTCAGAAAATAATAAGACATTTAAGTAACCCGCTTTAATTCATATTTGGAAGGTGAGCACCCTTCGATTGCAGCCAATGATGTCACGTGGGCAACATTTGATGTTGTCTAAACATATAATTGCTATTAGATACACATAAATGGGGTCTTACAGTGATTATGCCCTGATGTGTGAACCATTCCAGATGTTTTATTCCTCTTGTACGCAACATGCAGCGTGGCATCCCGACGGCGAAACTTCCTGGTTGTCGGGGTGCACGAAGTCTATCCTATATATATATTTTTTAAAAATTTCCACAATATGTATCGAGATGTACATTCCAGTAATTCTATCGTCCTCTACAACCAACACAGTCTTCGTTATCTGATTATATTCCGCTGGTGTTACTGGTAGGAACAGCCTAAAAATCGCCGATTAAAACACCACGTTATAAATAGCCCGATAGATTTTAACATCCCGACAAGTGTATTCCACACTGTCCTCGCTGCCGGACATACCAGATACTTGGGCGCTAAAGCCTTTTTACCGCCTGGCATTCGGGCAGTTTTCACACATGAAACTTTCCTTCCGTGTCCCACGTACTAAGGGTGCGTAGATTCAGCTGATAAATGATTGTTAAGGCCCAACGTGTATTCCCATTCAAACCAGTTATCATCTTTACAGTCCATTGTGGCCAAAGCACTACCTACGGTACTATCATCGTCCATCTCTGTTCGGCCCCGATGAGCGAAATCTTGCAAGACATGGTGTCGCTTATACGCACTCGTGCTTCGATAAAGATTTTGTGTATCCTTGATGTGTCATCTAGACGCGCACATAACTTTTGATGCATCTTGGGACAGGTTGTGGGGAGAGTACGATTATTTTTTACGCATCTCTTGTCCAAGAAAGCACAGATTCTATAGTCTTTTAATTTGAAATCATCACTAATGTAACGGGCGCCCTTTGTTTGGGATGCCGCGAAATTACACGTACACTAGTATGTGCAGAGGAAGTTAATATACATAACAACTAAGCTGAGTGAAGGGTCAAAAGAGAACTTTGTTTAATTTAGTTAAGCTATCAATATAACTTCAGTCTTCATCTAACTTTAATAGACAATGTCGTCGTATGACGACAACCTGCTCACCACTCATTGCGCGCGTCTAGCAGCGATTGGTGTTAATCTATGGGTTGATATGTCTTTTATCAACCAATCTTGGAGCAGCGAATGAATATTATCCAAAAGGGGATAATGTTCCTTCAATATTATTCATCTCGGATAATATCGGTAGAATATTGTCATACTACAATATTCCAATTGACACCGTTTGGTGTCAATTTCATGTAACGGGCTACCCCGTTACATCACCCACCTTTTCCATCAATCACCCGTTTATTACATAGATTTGATTGGGGCAGGGTGACCACCGTTGGATCACCTGGGAAAGAGAGCACTTTTTAGTCAAATTCCATTCATTTGCC